ATTTTGGTTGCCTTGGATTTGGTTTCATTTTCCTCAGCTTCAGCTTGAATTTGCATACGAGTAGTTGGTGGTCTGTTCCACAATCAGCTCCCGGCCTAGTTTTCACAGCTGATAATGAGCTTCTCCAGTGGTTCTTTCCACAGATGTAATCGATCTGATTCCTATGCCTACCATAAGGTGAAATCCAGGTATATAACCTGCGTTTATGTCTCTTAAAAATGTATTTGCTGTGAATAAGTCATTGTTGCAGAAACTCTGGTGGTCTAGTGGCAAGAAGGTGCACTGCAATGCCAAAGGCACATGGTTTGAGGCCACCAGCTGCACCGCAGGGGGATGGGCAATCTCCCACGAGAGATTACCTGCCTCTGAAAACCCACCGGAGGGTCAGCTATGGGTCAGTCAGTTCTGACTCGATGGTACACCACATCAACAATATATCTCAACATGAAGTTCTTCAGCTAAATGTCAGCACTGCAAAGGGGTATAGACTATACAGGGCGATGCTGCCCGAGGGTTTGACAGACATCAAAATGACTGAATATTTTTTTTTTGTGCAGTGTTTTTTCAGCACAGCAAGCATGTGGTCATGTTTTTGTTGCCGCCAATGTATATTTCTCTCTCACCCATTCTGGTTGGAATGTGAACCTGTAGAACAAAGCAGACTGTCTCATTGGATTTCTAAAGTTGTAATCTTTACAGAAGAAACAGTAGCAGCTGTTAATGGAAAGGTTGCTGGTTCCAACCCACAAGTCGTCCCTCAGAAGGAAGACGGGACATCTATTCCTGTAAAGACTTACAGCCTTAGAAATCCTAGGGTCCTATAGGGTGTCTACGAGTGGATGTGGGTGACAGGAATCTCTACAGAAGAGTGCCACATCTCTCTTCCTAGGAACAGCTAATGGTACCTAGCCATTGACCATTCAATTGTGAGAGGAGTGTTAAACCGCTCGGCCACTAGGATCCATTGTGCTTCTCCTAATGAGTAGAAATCCTAGTAATAATAAAGCCAATTTGTAAATTCTTCTTCTTTCTCTCATGCAAATTACAATGCCATATGAAATGGACTTTTTTTCCCTATTTTTAAGACTCCAGAGGAACACATTGGAAGACAAGATTCTGATTACTTTCTTAGTCTGTTTTGTGTTTTCATTAAGTGGATCATATGTATTTGGTAAACTGTACCAGGAACAGAATATGTTAATGATAATATAGTGGTGGCCGAGTTAAAAAAAATGAAAGGCATCAAAATGAGAGTATGGCAGTTTCATAGTTGTTGTTGTTGTTATGGGCCATTGAGTCTCTTGCGACTCATAGCGACCCTATGTACAACATCCCTAAACTCTGCTCTGTCCTGTGCCAATCACACTGTCTCCGACAAACCCATCCTGATTACCCCAGTCACTGAATTAATCCACCTCATAGAGGGCCTTCCCCTTGTGCTCCGTCCCTCCACCCTCCCAAGCATGATGTCCCTCTCCAAGGACTGGTCTCTCCTTACAACATGACCAAAGTATGTTAGATGGAGCCTCAGAATCCTTGCCTCCAAGGAGCAGCCTAGTTTAACCCTTTCCAGGATGAATCTGTTTGTTTCCTCAATACTCTTCTCCAGCACCACAGCTCAAAGGCATCAATTCTCCTTCTATCCTCCCTAGTCATAGTCCAACTCTCTGAT